GCGGGCTAATTATTGTTATTTTCGTTAAAAAATTCTCTTCTTCGGCAATTATGAGAAACAATTCTTCCTAAAAACTTTTGTTTCCAACTTTGCTAAAATATGTTTTTTTCCCGCTCGTCTTTTCATCGTTCTAGCAGATGTTAAAGTAGCATTTACAAAGGTATTTATACCCTTGATGCGTTTATTGTATTCGTTAAACGATACTATGTGCCTACACGTTTATCTTCGACATATTAACACAAGGGAATAATAAATAGATAACGGATGAAAAAAATTTTTTGTTCGAAATTTTTTTGTTGCTGCAAGCAGCGTAGGTGAATATAACAGCATAAGACGTAAATTGTGACCAATAACCGATACAATAAAACTCACAGTTTCAAGTTTACCACGTGAATTGGTTTTTATTCGACAAACTAAAACCTAGAACAACGACAACGACAACAACAACAACGTAAGCAGAAACAACAACAGTAGTAGAAACGAGAATGGCATAATGACATCACACCACACCACTCCAGCCCACAATACATTACACCACTCCACACAAATCCACACCACACCCCACAACTCCACCCCACACAACTTCACTGCACTCCGCACAACTCACCCCTATATTACACCACATCACACTACAACACACAACTCCACGCCACATAACTCCACACCACACCACTCCACACTATATTACACCACATCACACTACCTCACACCACACCACACCACACTACACCACACCACACAACTCCACACCACACAACTCCACACTACATTACACCACATCACACTACATCACTAAACCCCATACTGCAGCACACCAAACAACTCTACAAGACACTACACCCCACTACACTTCGTACTGCAGCACACGACAACGCTGATCAACATTTTCCCCTACGTGACTAAGACAAGCCTAGACCAAGAAGCATGCCCTTGAAACTACTCTATCATTAGGAAATGAGCGGGCGTGAGCTCTTAACCATGACAGCAAAAAATAATTGTTTCATATATGTTCACTTAGGTATATTTAGAAGCAGTCGAGTCGATCTGACTGCCCTATAGCTCCTTCAACTCTTCAATTTTAACAAAAAATGAACAACAATAGTTTATTGTACCATACACGGAATCAAAATATGGCGTCCAATAGGACCTTTGCATGATGGCGTCTTTTGACTTCCACTACCATAATGCTTGGCAGATTTCTTTTCTTATTTAAAATTGTATTCCTCGTGAGAATCGCAAGACAATTTGTGCTTATTAACTGAACAAAAGAAAATGTGCAAGAGAGTCTGGTAGTTGAGGTCAATGCCCTGGAATAAATTAATTGACATGCTGATTTCAGACCCTAAAAGGTACGACCACATTTAAAATGACAAAGTTTCCAACCATTATATTCTTGTATGACGTTTGATATCTTTCAAAACGAACAAATCTGACCCCAAAAGGTACGGAGTCAGCCGGGAGTCAGCCGGAGACCCTAAAAGGTACGCGAGGTCTCATTTTCGACCCTAAAAGGTCCGTCGAGTCCCCCTACCCACTTTTCAAGAGAGTACCCTCCCCCCCCCCGGGGGGGGGGGGGGGGGGGGTCAATGACGCCATGAGTGCAAACGTCCTATTTGAATAACTACTCTCCTCGACTAGCGACTTACTAGCCTCTCATCGATTTATGTTTCAACGTGAGAAAAAGGCTGATCAGTCGCTAGTCAGTACGGAGTATAATAACATGCTAAAAAGACAAGGAATAATAATAATAATAATATAATGATAATAACTTTATTAGTGAATCTAATCTTCTAGCCGGGCACAAGTGCCCTACTAATCGGGGAGACAGGAAAAAGACAATAGAAAGTTTTAGATTAATTTTTTTTGGCTTCCCGCAAACGGCAAACGTGACCACGTTTTCATCGTTTTCCTGTATTTTACTTTACCTCTTGCAAACTTTCTCACCAAAGACAAATATTCTTT